CAAGGAGAAGGGGACGACAGAGGACGAGATGGTTGGATAGTGTTCTCGAAGCTACCAGCATGAGTTTGACCAAACTTCGGGAGGCAGTGGAAGACAGGAGTGCCTGGCGTGCTCTGGTCCAGGGGGTCACAAAGAGTCGGACACGACTAAACGACTAAACAACAACAACATTCTTTGAGGGGAAACTACTTGAAAATGATTTACAGGTGGTATTTAACTCCCGAGTAGGCTTGCTAAGGTGTATGAGACTGAATCAGATAAGTGTTGGAGATGGAAGGAAGCGGAGGGGACATTCTTTCAACATGTGGTGGACTTGTAAAAGGGTAAAAGAGTATTGGGAAATGATATATAATGAATTGAAAAAAAATGTTTAAAAATACTTTCCCAAAAAGCAAACAAACCAGAGTCCTTTTCGTTGGGGATAATTCAGACTGACATTTCCAGGTGTCAAAAAAAGGTTATTTATGTATGCCACTACTGCAGCCCATGTTTTGTTAGCCCCAAAATGGAAAATGAGCAAGTACCAAAGAAGAATGGCAATTTAAAGTTGACGAAATATGCGTCTCTCGTTTTCCATTTCTGGCCAGCAAAACATGGGCCACAGTTGTTGCATACGTAAATAACCTTTTCTGACACCTGGGAATTTCAGTCCGAATTATCCCCAACAGAAAGGACTCTGGTTTATTGCGGAAAGTAATTACAAACAGTTTTTTCAATTCATTATAAATCATTTCCCAATACACTTTTACCCATCCACCAAATATGAAAGAAAATGACTATTTAAGGCATCTAGTCCATGTTAATGTCCACCTTCTTTACTTTCTGTTAAACCATATTTCTTTTTAGTATTGCTGTCTCATTTGCTTCTTCCTCCCATGAAAAGTCCAAGGGGGAATCCCAGTTTATTATTATTATTATTAAGGAGTACCTCTGTTAATTCCCATCACCAGCCATCTCTCGGCTTCACTGAATGCCCACAAGTTATGAGAGAGGGAGAAATAAAATTCCGTTATCAGTTTGTGCTGCCCCCATATTTAAGATCTCGCTGTTGGGGCTTCGGATTTCTCTATCAGAAAACGACCCTGTAGAAAGGAGCCCTCTCCCTTTGTGCCCCCAGCCTTGCCCCCATTTTCCCATTGAGAAATAGCTGTTGCCAACTCTGCCACCTCCCCAGTGAGCAATCGAGGGATTCCTAGGGATTCCCCTGAACACCATTTTTTTAAAAGATCCAAGTTCATGCACATCCTCGCAGTTAACCTGCAAAGAGGCGTCAGAACTTCCTGACATAATTGCTTGGGACAGATAATAAAAAGTCCTTAGGCAAAACGAAGGCAGTTAATATACCGACCGAGTTGAAACCCAACCCCCCCTTCCTTCGGCTACCCTCTTGCTTTTTAATAATGGTTTAATGAAAAATTCAAAATTAATTGGAAGTGGCGTTCGGAGATCGCACGGGGGCTTGGGAGCCTTAATATTTCAAGGCTGCGCTTGGCTATGGTGAATCACAGGGTCGCAGAATCGGAAGGGAACCCCGAGGATCATCTAGTCCAACCCCCTGCCGTGCAGGAAACCTCAACACGCGGTCCCCCGTCCAATTTGAAACCACACAGGACCCTGCTTAGCTTTGCAATAGCACCAGCGGTCTTATTGCTGCACCGCCGGGAAGACAAGTAAGGTGGTGGAGCGTTTAGGAATTCAGAGGACCTGTTGAGCTTTCTGAGTGCATTGAAACAGCAATGTGGCAGAAATCCAACAGGTGCTGTTTCCTCCAGCATGGGTCATTTGCCATGTTTTAGTTATTCATTTAGGGACGCGCGTGGCACTGTGGGTTAAACCACAGAGCCTAGGGCTTGCCGATCAGAAGGTCAGCGGTTCGAATCCCCACCATGGGGTGAGCTCCCATTGCTCGGTCCCTGCTCCTGCCAACCTAGCTGTTCGAAAGCACGTCAAAGTGCAAGTAGATAAATAGGTACTGCTCCGGCGGAAAGATAAACGGCGTTTCCGTGCGTTGCTCTGTTCGCCAGAAGCGGCTTAGTCATGCTGGCCACATGACCCGGAAGCTATACGCTTGCTCCCTCAGCCAATAAAGCGAGATGGGTGCCGCAACCCCAGAGTCGTCCGTGACTGGACCTAACAGTCAGGGGTCCCTTTACCGTTAAGTTATTCATTTATTGCATTAATGCCCCCCTCCTTTCATCCAAGTAGCTCAAGGCGGTATAAGTGGTTCTTCTTTTCCTCATTCAATCCCCACAACAAAGTTGCAGAGTAGCGGTAGTTTAAGCTGAGAGTGAGATTCATGCCTCAGTGAAGGAGTTGAACCCAGCTCTCCAGGTCCTAGTTCGACCCTCTGACCGCCACTGGCTTTATCTCTTGCTTCTCTTCTGAGGCGCTGCCTGAGGCGGTCGTCTCAACTTGCTTCATGGGTGGGCGGCCCATCCCTAGCCGTTGGCTTGATCCAACAGGCTAGTCTTATGTTCTTAGTCTCCACCAGGCCTACAAAGAGCTATCTGAAGACCCTTTGCCCAGAACACCCACAAACCTGCAGTCGGCTTCGCATTTCGCCTCCCTCCTTCTGTTTCTCTGCTGTCTTGTCTTAATTTGTAAGCTCCTTGGGTGAAGAGCCCTGCCTACATTTCCCGTCTACGTTGGCGGCACAATGTAAAGCAAACTGATGACAAAAATATGCGCCTCTGTGGAGGTGCCCTTTGGATATGCTTTCAGAAACCTGAAGGGAAAACGGCAACATCTTTTAACAGTTCCTCTGTGTTTGTTGCATATTTTGGAAGCGCAGCCAAACTAAAAGAAGCCTTCGCAGTGTAAAAGAAGGGTGCCCTTCCTTTCACAGCCTCGCCGCTGAAGAACAGCTGAGAATGTTCAGAAATCTATCTCTGTATTGTTGTAGTTTTTGCAGGGAGTCTGTTTATCCCAAAGGTTTCGCCCTTGATGAGGAGAACAGATTATTTCGCCTACTGTGTTTGGTGTCTGTGAAATATTACGGGGATTGCTTTTGCTTCCCAATTTTTGCCGCTTGCAACTACAGATCCTCTGCGTTGTTATCCAGCTAAGTTTTCCTCAGAGTAAAACCCATAGAGTCATTACTTTTGGAGTCATTACTTTTAATGAGGGTGAAAGAGGAGAGCGCAAAATATGGTCTGAAGCTCAACATCAAAAAAACGAAGATCATGGCCACTGGTCCCATCACCTCCTGGCAAACAGAAGGGGGAGAAATGGAGGCAGTGAGAGATTTTACTTTCTTGGGCTCCATGATCACTGCAGATGGTGACAGCAGTCACGAAATTAAAAGATGCCTGCTCCTTGGGAGAAAGGCGATGGCAAACCTAGACAGCATCTTAAAAAGCAGAGACATCACCTTGACAACAAAGGTCCGTATAGTTAAAGCCATGGTTTTCCCAGTAGCGATGTATGGAAGTGAGAGCTGGACCATCAAGAAGGCTGATCGTTGAAGAATTGATGCTTTTGAATTCTGGTGCTGGAGGAGACTCTTGAGAGTCCCATGGACTGCAAGAAGATCAAACCGATTATCCATTCTGAAGGAAATCAGCCCTGAGTGCTCACTGGAAGGACAGATCCTGAAGCTGAGGCTCCAAGACTTTGGCCACCTCAGGAGAAGACAAGACTCCCTGGAAAAGACCCTGATGTTGGGGAAGATGGAGGGCCCAAGGAGAAGGGGACGACAGAGGACGAGATGGTGGGACAGTGTTCTCAAAGCTACCAGCATGAGTTTGACCAAACTGTGGGAGGCAGTGGAAGACAGGAGTGCCTGGCGTGCTCTGGTCCAGGGGGTCACGAAGAGGCGGACACGACTAAACGACTAAACAACAACAACAACAATTCAGTTTTACAAGCACACCGGAGGTTAAACTAACCCCTTAGAAGAGAGAAGGACACATATCGCTTGACACACCTGCACACTGCAGCCGACACACTAAGGTGTCGCGACGCACAGTTTGCAAAGCTCTGCTCTGCTGGCTGAGCTCCCAGGCAGAGCTCAGGGGCTTGGCGTGCATCAGGAATGCAGAGCCCATCACCACAATCATTTATTTCATACAATCATAGAACAGTAGAGCTGGAAGGGTTCCAGGGGTCATCTAGTCCAACCCCATGCAAAGCAGGAGTCACAGCTAAAATATCGCTGACCGATGGCTGTTCAACCAGTGAAGGAGGGTTTGCCACCTTCCAATGGAGTCCGTTCCGCTGTCAAACAGCTCTTGCCCTCAGAAAGTTCTTCCTGGATTTAAGGAATATTCGAAAAAAATATGTTAATATTTAAATCTTAGAATAGCTTTGGAAGTGGATATAGGCTGTATGGTTAGAAGTAGAAGCCCCAACCAAAGAAGAATGGCAACTATATAGTTGATGGAATATGCGCAGCTTGCAGACTTAACATATAGAATAAGAGAACAAGAAGAGCATACGTTTAGAGAAGATTGGAAAACGTTTATCAAATATATGGGAAATAAATGTGTACAACTAAAAACACTGGCAGCATTAAGATAAATTCAGCAGTGTAAATAAGTTATGATGGATGCAATAATGGAATACTGAATGGTATAGTTTCTGTAAAATATGCAGGGCTTTATGTTATGCAGAACAAACTATGGAAAGAGAAGGAGGGAAGTCACTGACATTTTAAGATTGTTTAAATGAATATTCTGAAATGTAAAACAGAAAATTTAATAAAAATGAAATAAAAAAGTGTGTCGCCAGCACGAAACGTTTGGAAAGCTCTGGGGTGGAGCAGAGACTCTTAATCTCAGGGTTGTGGGTTCAAGCCTCGAGTTGGGTGGAAAACCTTTGCTTTTCAGGGGGGTGGACTGGATAGCCTTTGTGGTCCCTTCCCGTACTGCGATGCTGCGATTCTATGAAATAAGTGGTGGTGATAGGCCTCCCCATATCGTGACGCACGCCAAGCCCCTGATCTCTGCCTCTGCACTCCTTGGGACAGGAGACAGGGCGAGATCTTGCCTGGAATGCGAAACATGCCACCCGACGGGCTCGAGCCGGGACCGGTTTGTCCAGCCTGGCAGGCTGGTGTTCCCTTTCCGAAACCTCCCTGGGAGTTCCTGGCCTCCCTGCTCTCGGCTTCATGCTTTCGCTGGCCTCTCTCTCGCCTGTCTCTCTCGCCGAGCCGGAGGGGATGGAGACCCTGCGGAGGAGCCTGTCCCGGTGGAAGAAGTACCACATCAAAGTCCACCTGGCCGACGAGGACCTCCTGCTGCCTCTGACCGTGAGGCCCACCGACACCATGATGGACCTGAGGGCACACCTGGTGCGGGAAGGGGTGACCTCGTGGAAGAAGACCTTCTTCTACAACGCCCGGGTGATCGAGGAGCACGAGACGGTGAAGGAGGCCAAGATCCAGAACGGGTCCGTCCTCCTGCTCATCAGCGACAAGAGGTGGGTTCCCTGGGCATCGCTCCTCAGCCAAGCTTAGCCAGATGCTTAGGAAGTTTGGGTTGGTTTGGGGAGCTGTAGAGTTGGAAGGTACCCCCAAAGGTCATCCAGACCAACCCGCGGCAATGCAAGGAAATCGCAGCGGCTGTCTCTTGGGCTGAGATGCAGTTGAGTGGGAGAGCATCTGCTTTTAGGGCAGCGGTTCTCAACCTGTGGGTCGCCAGATGTTGTTGATGGACTACAACTCCCATCATCCCTGAGCTCCAGCCTTGCTAGCTAGGGGTGATGGGAGTTGTAGTTCAACAACATCTGGGGACCCACAGGTTGAGAAGGGCTGTTTTAGGGAGATGGAGGTTCCCGGTTTCAACCCCCAAGTAAGACTTAGAGGGACCCCTGCCCATGGCAAAGCAAGCTGACGGACTATGCGGAGATGGCAAAGCTGACTGGAAAACTCAGAAACCAGAGGACAAAAACTTGATAAAAGAATGGGAATACAGTGATATCTTCGGTTAAGTACTTACCGTAATTCGTTCTGGAGCTCCGTTCTTAACCTGAAACTGTTCTTAACCTGAAGCACCACTTTAGCTAATGGTGCCTCCTGCTGCCGTCGCGCCGCCGGAGCACGATTTCTGTTCTGATCCTGAAGCAAAGTTCTTAACCTGAAGCACTATTTATGGGTTAGCGGAGTCTGTAACCTGAAGCGTATGTAACCTGAAGCGTATGTAACCCAAGGTACCGCTGTAATTTATAAGTTATTTAGGAGACGACTGTAAGCAGATGGAAACAAAAGCAGGATTTTGATTTCACTTGTAGTGTAAAAATTACCATGGATAATATGGTTGGATATAGAAATTGGAGGATGGATGAATATGCAGTAAAAAGGTAAAGGGACCCCTGACCATTAGGTCCAGTCGCGGCCGACTCTGGGGTTGCGGCGCTCATCTTGCTTTCAGGCCGAGGGAGCCAGCGTACAGCTTCCGGGTCATGTGGCCAGCATGACTAAACCGCTTCTGGCGAACCAGAGCAGTGCACGGAAACACTGTTTACCTTCCCGCCAGAGCGGTACCTATTTATCTACTTGTACTTTGCCGTGCTTTTGAACTGCTAGGTTGGCAGGAGCAGGGACCGAGCAACGGGAGCTCACCCCGTCGCGGGGATTCAAACCGCCGACGTTCTGATTGGCAAGTCCTAGGCTCTGTGGTTTAACCCACAGCGCCACCCACGTCCCTGAATATGCAGTAGTAGGTGTTTAAAATGGGACTTGTGGAGAGGATGGGGGGAAGTCCCAAGATTCGGAGAATCTTTATATAGTTCTTTAAAAAACAAATACCATATTTTTTGCTCCATAAGACTCACTTTCCCCCTCCTAAAAAGTAAGGGGAAATGCGTGTGCGTCTTATGGAGCGAATGCAGGCTGCGCAGCTATCCCAGAAGCCAGAACAGCAAGAGGGATTGCTGCTTTCACTGCACAGCGATCCCTCTTGCTGTTCTGGCTTCTGAGATTCAGAATATTTTTTTCCTTGTTTTCCTCCTCCAAAAACTAGGTGCATCTTGTGGTCTGGTGCGTCTTATAGAGCGAAAAATACGGTATCTGTTTATTTGTACTTAGTATTTGTAAAACCAATAAAAATGATTTCATTAAAAAAGAGAGAAAGGGATCTCTGCCCAAAATGCTGGAGAGATGCTGCCAGTCAGTGTAGGTAAGTGGAGCAAACCTTTGTATCAGGCAGTTTCCTATGCACTCGTCTCAATCAGCCCTTTGGTTCGAATTGATGAGGACTAGAATCTTGCTTTGCCTGGCGAGGAAGGACCTCAGTTCAGCCATGGAGCGCCTCATTTGCATGCAGGAAAGGCCAGCTTCAAGCCTCTGCCAGTCAGTGCAGGCATTGCTGAGCCCTGCATAAAACAGCATCCTAAGTTCCTACAACTCTGGGCTTAATTCGGGGGAAACTGCAGAAATGTTGATCAAACTCGTTTTAAAAACACAGCAAAAAGCCCGCTCTTTAGCTGGCCGTTTTTGCATGCCGCCTGGTTTCGGGGGAGAGCAAAGAGCATTATTTGCAGAGCAAAGACTTACCGTAGAATCCGGGGTCCCCAAAGGTCCTCTAGTCCAACCCCCGCAAGGCTGGAATCGCAGGGAAAGAATGCCCAACCTCTGCTTCAAAACCCTCAGTGGAGGAGAGTCCATTTATTATATGCCTTTATGTAGAGCCGTCCCCTTGGTGCTGTCTCCTCTGCGGCTAAATAAATAAGGAGCCAAAGTCCTCTTTGCTCAAGTGAGTGCAAAGCCACCATTGAGGGTAAGAGCAAGCTGCGGACAGAGGGCAAAGGCAGAGCAGGATTTGACCCAGTGAATGGAGGGTTACTGGAGGCGGTGGAATTCAAAATTCAAGCCGTACTATTTTTGCATTTGCCTGCCATTGTTCTGGATACGCAAAGACTATCTAGAATGTAAATAATAATAATAATAATAATAATAATAATATTCATATCCTGCACGGGGCGGCTCCCAACAGAGGACTAAAAACAGAATAAAACTTCAAACATGAAATAATAATAATAATAATAATAATAATAATAATAATAATAATATTCATACCCCGCCCATCTGACTGGGTTTCCCCAGCCACTCTGGGCTGCTTCCAACAGAGGACTAAAAACAGAATAAAACTCCAGACATGAAAAACTTCCCTAAACAGGGCTACCTTCAGATGTCTTCTAAAAGTCAGATAGTTGTTTACTTCCTTGACATCTGATGGGAGGGCGTTCCACAGGGCGGGAGCCACTACCCCAGTGATACATCACTCAGTCGGTAGAGCATGAGACTCTTATGGTTGTGGGTTCGAGTCCCATGTAGGGCAATAGATCGCGGCCTTGCAAGGGGTTGGGCTAGATGACCCTCGTGGTCCCTTCCAACCCGTAGGGTTCTGTGATCACCGGGCTGCAAGACACCTGTGACTTTCCACATGTCGGAGGACTACAGCTCCCATCAACCCCAGCTGTCGGGGATGATGGGAATTGGAGTTCAACAAAAATATGGAGGCCCGTAGGTTCTCCATCTCTGCTGTGTACACTGGCTGTGTGTTGCATTCGGATGTGGGGGAATATTGTACGACTTTCCCTCTCCGCCTTGTTTTCTAATGTTCATTTCATGCTGCAGTTCCTGAGGCTGCAACAGACTTTTCCCGGAAGCCAGGAGCATGCTAAACATCCATTATACAGTGGTACCTCGGGTTACATATGCTTCAGGTTACATTCGCTTCAGGTTACAGACTCCGCTAACCCAGAAATAGTGCTTCAAGTTAAGAAATTTGCTTCAGGATGAGAACAGAAATCGTGCTCCAGCGGCACAGCAGCAGCAGGAGGCCCCATTAGCCAAAGTGGTGCTTCAGGTTAAGAACAGTTTCAGGTTAAGTACGGACCTCCGGAACGAATTAAGTACTTAACCCGAGGTACCACTGTATTTTGCTAGATTTCCAGAAGTGGCTGAACTATAACGGGAACTGAATAATGGGGCGAAAGAGCACTAAGCATGCGCGACGACACATTAGTTTTCTGATAGCGCCTCTTACATCGTGTGGAAGCTCAGATGCCATGCGGAAATTAGCAGTTAGGGAAATGTAGGAGGAAAATGAATATTCTGCCTTGCGGGTGCAGCCACAGTAGCAAGTCTTGGGCACACAGAGCCTTCTCTCTCACCCCGTCCTTGAGGATGCGAAATTGCTGTGAGCAAAACCAGCAACAGTTTATTGTCTTCGTAATGTGCATATAAGGGACGCGGTTGGCGCTGTGGGTTAAACCACAGAGCCTAGGACTTGCCGATCAGAAGGTTGGCGGTTCGAAGCCCCGCGATGGGGTGAGCTGCCATTGCTCGGTCCCTGCTCCTGCCAACCTAGCAATTCAAAAGCAAGCCAGCGCAAGTAGATAAATAGGTACCACTCCAGTGGGAAGGTAAAGGTCTGGTTCGCCAGAAGCGGCTTTGTCATGCTGGCCACATGACCCGGAAGCTGTCTGCCGGCTCCCTCAGCCAATAAAGCGAGATGAGCACTGCAACCCCAGAGTCGGCCACGACTGGACCTAATGGTCAGGGGTCCCTTTACCTTTACCTCCCAATAATGCAATCACACCACATGCGAGGATGATGATAGCTTCTCTAGTTAATAAATGAAGGGTGCCTTTGAATGTGCCAATGCCACTAAACCTGGACTCCTAGAGGTATCCTTGGAAACCAGAACGGATCACTATGCTTAGATCTGGACAAAAACTTCCAGCTCTCTGCTCAAAACCTTAGAATAGCCACACCACACCACCGCCCTTGTTGCTAACAGTGAGTCCTGCTTGGAGTAGACCCATCGGAATGACTGGGCACCGCTGGTTTAGATCCATTCCTTTCAATGGCTAGACCCTGCCTGGGTAGAAACTGGTTGGATAAATCCACATTTACCTGCGCGGTCCTAACCATGACTTCTCAGAAGTAGGTCCTGTTGAGTTCAATGAACCTTGCTCCCAGGTAAATGGGATTGGGTTTGCCTTCACATGGTCGTTCATTCCATTTCCCCTGCATTTTCCTAACTGTTGATTTCTGCGTTACAGTCGAGCTTTTGTACGATGTAGAAGTCACTTCTGGGGAAACTAATGGAATATAGCCCATGATTCGCGCTCATTTCTGTGTTACTTGATCCCAGAAAAAAACAAACCCACAACTCCTTGTAGCACCTTTAACGTGGAAAATTGCTGGGGCAAAGCAGTGAAATTTGGGACAATATACTGGCCTATACTGGGATGCGGGTGGCGCTGTGGGTTAAACCACAGAGCCTAGGGCTTGCAGATCAGAAGGTCGGTGGTTCGAATCCCCACGACGGGGTGAGCTCCCGTTGCTCGGTCCGTGCTCCTGCCAACCTAGCAGTTCGAAAGCACGTCAAAGTGCAAGTAGATAAATAGGTACCGCTCCAGCGGGAAGGTAAACAGCGTTTCTGTGCGCTGCTCTGGTTCACCAGAAGCGGCTTAGTTATGCTGGCCGCATGACCCGGAAGCTGTACGCCGGCTCCCTCGGCCAATAAAGCGAGATGAGCGCTGCAACCCCAGAATCGTCTGCGACTGGACTTAACGGTCAGGGGTCCCTTTACCTTTACCTTACTGGCCTATGGTTCTTTCCCGCTATTTCTGTGGCAGACTCGTGGGGCGAAGGAAGCACACATGGGCCAAGAGAGTGGGAGAATGGCGACATGGTCTGATGGCATTCCTGTTGTGTCATACGGTGTAGATGAAATTTAGCTTAGTATTTTGGCATATCGGCCCCCAAAGCCACAACTGCACAACATGAAGCTCCAGCATTATAATCAGGAAAACTGCAATCTTTATGACATGAAGCGCCCTGAGATCTACGGGTATAGGGTGGTATACAAATTTAATAAACAATAATGATAATAAAAAGGATGCGCACCCACACTGTAAACCTAACCCTGCTTACCTTTGGAGTAAGCTCCATTGAAAATTGTCACCAGGACTTACTTCTGAGTAGATGCGGTTAGGATTGCAGGGTCATAGAATCATAGAATCATAGAATCCTAGAGTTGGAAGAGACCACAAGGGCCATCGAGTCCAACCCCCTGCCAAGCAGGAAACACCATCAGAGCACTCCTGACATATGGTTGTCAAGCCTCTGCTTAAAGACCTCCAAAGAAGGAGACTCCACCACACTCCTTGGCAGCAAATTCCACTGTCAAACAGCTCTTACTGTCAGGAAGTTCTTCCTAATGTTTAGGTGGAATCTTCTTTCTTGTAGTTTGGATCCATTGCTCCGTGTCCGCTTCTCTGGAGCAGCAGAAAACAACCTTTCTCCCTCCTCTATGTGACATCCTTTTCTATATTTGAACATGGCTATCATATCACCCCTTAACCTCCTCTTCTCCAGGCTAAACATGCCCAGCTCCCTTAGCCGTTCCTCATAAGGCATCGTTTCCAGGCCTTTGACCATTTTGGTTGCCCTCCTCTGGACACGTTCCAGTTTGTCAGTGTCCTTCTTGAACTGTGGTGCCCAGAACTGGACACAGTACTCCAGGTGAGGTCTGACCAGAGCAGAATACAGTGGCACCATTACTTCCCTTGATCTAGATGCTATACTCCTATTGATGAGGCCCAGAATTGCATTGGCTTTTTTAGCTGCCGCGTCACACTGTTGGCTCATGTCAAGTTTGTGGTCAACCAAGACTCCTAGATCCTTTTCACGTGTACTGCTCTCAAGCCAGGTGACTTGGGAGGGGGAATTCTGCCATGTGTTGGGTATGTCCTCTTAAGCCACAGTTCCTATTGTCCGCCGCCGCTGGCCATGTTGGTTGAGCTTGATAGGATTTGGAGGCTGGCAGCATCTGGGGGGCAACCGGTGACCCATTCTTGGGGCAGGAGGTACTACAGAGGTAACCGGACTATGGTTTGCCGTGGTGTAAGTCAGCTTCCCGTGTTTCTGTTTAAATCAGGCCCTGATCCGGAACCTTGAGGACTAGAATCTCTCTTTCTGTTTTTAGGGGAAAGGCCGTAGATGAATGGTAGGATATCTGCCTTGTACTCAGAAGGTCCCAGGTTCAAGCCCTGCCATCTCCAGGTAAGCCAGTTGGTTAGAACGTGCTGCCAATGAACGCCAAGGTTGCAGGTTCGATACCTGCTTGGGACAGCTGCATTGCAGGGGGGTTGGGCTATATATATGAGAAACGGGGGGGGGGGGCTAGTCCTGCCCTTTGCTACTACCCAATTAACCTCCGTCTCCAAGGGCTGCCACAGTCATATCGCCAGGGGCAAGCTGAAGCTCTCCAAATGTCCCTGTTTTCCAGGGATGGTCCGGGAATAACAGAAGCTACCTAGGTTTCTGATTTGATCCCGGACTGCCCTGCTTTCCCTCAACAGGATATCCCTATTTTCATTGGAGAAATGTCGGAGGGGGTGGGAAAGGGTGCCCTAGGTGTTCATCAGAGAAATGTTGGAGGGCATGCAAGCTCATGGGCTATCTATGCCATGGGATGGCACAGAGGCAAACCCTGGAGATGGAGATCAATTAGGAGAGGGGGGCAGAAGAAGGAAGACCCCCACCCCCGAGTGTCTACGTGGGAATTTGCAGACCACTTCTGCCAGGCTGAAGCTTTCAAGCTGCATCAACAGTCATTGTTGTTGCTTATTTTTCTTTTTACCACCAGAGGCTCCTCCACCTGCCAAGAAAACCTGGAGGCTTCAGGGCAGACCTGGAGGTCTAGCCCAGGCATAGGCAAACACCTCCAGGTGTTTTGGGACTACAACTCCCATCACCCCTACCTAACAGGACCAGTGGTCAGGGATGATGGGAACTGTAGTCCCCAAACAGCTGGAGGTCCAAGTTTGGCCATGCCTGGCACTAGTTGATCCTCAGAACCCTCTACAGTTCTAAGATTCTGTGATTCCTGGGCGAGAGGGACCGGTGGTCTGGCTAGGGGTATAAGGCAGCTTCTTATATTCCTATTCCACTGCCCCACCCATTTACAGGCCTTGTTGTCCTTCAGAGTTTAGCTCCTTCCAGATCTCAAGAAGTTACTGTTAGGATATTCCGTTCCACCTTAAGGAACAGGCATGATAGTTGTGTGTCACATGCCTGTTTACACTCCAGCACAGCTTGCTGGGAACTTCTGTTTGGGTACAGTTTTTGCTTTTGCCGTTTTGCTTTGGACACGAAGGAGGTCAGACATGTTTCCTTTTGTCCTGCTGTACACTGAATAAGCAAGGGACACAGGTGGCGCTGTGGGTTAAACCACAGAGCCTAGGACTTGCCAATCAGAAGGTCGGCAGTTCGAATCTCCGCGGCAGGGTGAGCTCCTGTTGCTCGGTCCCAGCTCCTGCCAACCTAGCAGTTTGAAAGCTCGTCAAAGTGCAAGTAGATAAATAGGTACCACTCCGGCGGGAAGGTAAACGGCGTTTCTGTGCGCTGCTCTTGTTCGCCAGAAGCGGATTAGTCATGCTGGCCACATGACCCGGAAGATGTACGCCTGCTCCCTCGGCCAATAAAGCGAGATGAGCACCACAACCCCAGAGTCGGCCACGACTGGACCTAATGGTCAAGGGTCCCTTTACCTTTACTACGCTGAATAAACTGCTTGTAAATATGCTCACACAGCCTCTCCTGCCACTTCCGTTTGTGCAGCGTTTACTCTGCTGAGTAGCGTGCCCCAGCTTCTGAAGCTCAGGTCGCAGATTCATGCTGCACCAACTGGTGGGCTGGAGTCTGCTGGGGGCCTGCCAGCTGCCCCCGTTTCCTTGGTTGCTTGCCAACAGTTACATGTCTACCTGGTGGGTGGATTCTGCCTCTCGTGTGTGTGCTGGTTAATAGGTGTGCACAAGTGGCACACAGAAGGAAAACTGCCAAACGCGTTTGCAGAGCTAAGCAGGGCCCATAATGGATTGAAATGGGGGGACGGACCTGCATGGACTAGATGACCCATGGGGTCCCTTTCCAACTGTGCTGGGCCCGGGGGTAACCCGTGAAACGCAGCCCAGGACCAGTCCAGAATCCAAAGGTTCTGCTAGGAGTCAGTCCGACAGGGTCAAGGCAGGACGCCAGGCAGGAAACCAGGCAAGGACAGGTACAGGATCTCAGGCAGGATCTAGCAAACAGCAATATTGTTCCCGCAACCTGGGGCGGGGTCCGACAGCCTTTTATCTTTGTCGGGGTAGCAGCCGGTCCTGATCTCCCGGCGACTCACCTCCCTGTCTCGCATGAAGGCGAGCACTCCTCCTGCAAGTACTTAGGTCTCTCCTTCTCTCAGACCTGAGTCTCTGCAACTCGAGAGACGTCAGTGAGTTACTAGACCCAGAGGCCGCCTCAGCCTCCCCTGACCCAACCGGTAGTGGAGCAGCTGTAAGCGATGGCCCAGCTGAAGGCAACGAGGTCATCCCCGCATCTGGAGCCAGGGCAGGCTCAGGCCCCTGACTCGGCCCAGCTGGTGCTTGTTGCAGGGGAAACTGTGCAGACTGGGACTCTTCAGGATCAGGCCCCAGACTTGGTTCAGATGATGCCTGGGGCAAAGGATCCGGTGCGGACTGAGTCTCCTCTGGTTCCGAGTCTGAGCCCGAGTCCCAGGCCATCACACCAACTCAACAATTCTACGATTCTATGGAATACCCATTGCTGGTAACCATAGAAAGGGAGAACATTCTTGCACTCGGGTCCTGCTTGCATTTGGCTGGCCACTATTGGAGGAGGACTGGAATTACAGAATTCTAGACTTGGAAGGGACCTGGTGGTCATCTAGTCCAGCCCCCTGCACTGACCCCTTTGGGCTCTTCGTATGCCCAATCTTCCTTTAAAAAGAGCAATGTAAGAAGTTGCCCCGGTGGATCAGACCAAAGGCCGTTCCAATCCGCCTCCTTGCTTCTACAGCAGCCAACCAGATCCATCGGCAAACACTGCCAGCAAAGTGATGTGCATAGTTTTAATCCTATGAATGTTTCATGGTATTGCAAGGCTTGGTTTTCCTGTGTTTTCATAGAATCACAGAATTGTAGCATCGGAAGGAACCTTTTGTTCGATGTGGGTCTTGAACCCACAACCTTGAGATTAAGAGTCTTGTGCTCTACCTATCTGGAAACTGTATTGGGTCCCGTCAGGGAAAAAGACAGGGTATAAATAGTCATATCTACTACTACTACTACTACTACTATTTAAAACAATATATTAATATAATACATAATATATCATAAAGGGACGCGGGTGGCGCTGTGGGTTAAACCACAGAGCCTAGGACTTGCCGATCAGAAGGTCGGCGGTTCGAATCCCTGCGACAGAGTGAGCTCCCGTTGCTCGGTCCCTGCTCCTGTCAACCTAGCAGTTCGAAAGCACGTCAAAGTGCAAGTAGATAAATAGGTACCACTCCAGAGGGAAGGTAAACGGCGTTTCCGTGCACTGCTCTGGTTCGCCAGAAGCGACTCAGTCATGCTGGCCACATGACCCGGAAGCTGTACACCGGCTCCCTCGGCCAGTAAAGCGAGATGAGCACTGCAACCCCAGAGTCAGCCACGACTGGACCTAATGGTCAGGGGTCCCTTTACCTTTAATATATCATAATAATAATCTTTGCTCTGTCCCCTCCGTGGATCTTTGAGTGTATTCACTGGGCAGGCGTCTGGATAAACAATAATTATGGTCACCGGTCATGTGTTGCACCTCTCCTGAGTCAGGACTCAGACACGTTGTGTACAGAAGCAAAGCCTGTTTTTCCAGGGTGACCTGTTTCCCCTTTGTGCCCTCGGTGGATCTTGTCACTGCTAATCTTCCTTTTTTGAGGAAGAGCAAGACCAATAGACTGGCGGGTGTGCTTTGATGACAGCTTATTTGCTTTTGCTGCAAATATATCCATGTTCCTCTTTTCCTGCACTGTTCTCTATTGTACTACCAACCTTACTGTATTCGTGTGAAACATGGACCACTTATAAACGCCATCTCCAGCTCCTCAGAAGATTCCATCAACGGTGCCTCCGAAAAAATTTACACATCACTTGGGAAGACAGGCGAACTAATGCCAGTGTACTGGAAGAAGCAAAGATCACCAGTGTCAAAGCGATGATTCTTCAACACCAACTTTGTTGGACTGGTCATGTTGTGAGGATGCCTGATGATCATCTTCCAAAGCAACTCCTCTATTCCGAACTTTAAAATGGAAAGCGTGATGCTGGTGGTCAACAAAAGAGGCTTAAAGGCTCTCTCCAGGCAAATCTTAAAAAATGTAGTATAAACACTGACAACTGGGAAACACTGGCTTGTGAGCGCTCCAAATGGAGAACAGCCTTGACCAAAGGTGTCCTGGGCTTTGAAGACACTTGAACTCAGGACGAAAGGGAGGAATGTGCTAAGAGGAAGGCACGCTTGGCAAATCCAGACAGTGATCAACTCCCGCCTGGAAACCAATGTCCCCACTGTGGAAGGACGTGTGGGTCCAGAATTGGCCTCCACAGTCACTTATGGACTCACTGTTAAAACCGTGTTTATGGAAGACAATCTTACTCGGCTACGAGGGATTGCCAAAGAAGAAGATAAAGAAACACTGTTCTCCCTCATTTCACAGAATCATATAATTGTTAGGTTGGAAGGGACCCCAGGGGTCATCTAGCCGAACCCCTTGCAATGCAGGAATTCTGCCCATCTGCTCCGGGGTGGGTTCGAACCTCCAACCTTCTGATCCTAACCACCGCCTCCGTCCAAGTTGCCTGGATGCAGCCCAGAGAAGCACTGAAGGTGTTGGGGGAAGAAGGAGGCCAGAGAGGAGCAGACAGTGGCGAGCGTCCCTTGTCTCCTGCGCTTAGTGGTCCTCTCCTTGGGGTCCATAATAATAATAATGGGGACGTGGGTGGCACTGTGGGTTAAACCATAGAGCCTAGGACTTGCCAATCAGAAGGTCGGCTGTTCGAATCCCCGCGACCGGGTGAGCTACCGTTGCTCAGTCCCTGCTCCTGCCAACCTAGCAGTTCGAAAGCACGTCAAAGTGCAAGTAGATAAATAGGTACTGCTCCAGCAGGAAGGTAAACGGCATTTCCGTGCGCTGCTCTGGTTCGCCAGAAGTGGCTCAGTCATGCTGGCCACATGACCCGGAAGCTGTACGCCGGCTCCCTTGGCCAATAAAGCGAGATGAGCGCCACAACCCCAGAGTCGGTCACGACTGGACCTAATGGTCAGGGGTCCCTTTACCTTTACCTAATAATAATAATTTTTTTATTTATACCCCGCCCTTCCCAGTTCAAAAACCGGGCTCAGGGCGGCTAACAACAAATTTAAAACACTTAATTGTAAAAGCAGCATATAATACAGTATAAAAAACACGAATAACAATAAAAATCAAAAATCAATCAGATAATCTTCAGGGCTAGCTGGCTGAATTGATCCTACTTGGGCCAGCGAGGAGGCCAGGTGAGAATTAGCTGTGGGGTCTCAGAGCAGGTAATCTTCATAAAAGGGGAGGAGGAGGGAAATCGGAGATCAGGCTGAATTCAGATTAAAGACCAGGCGGAATAGCTCTGTCTTACAGGCCCTGCGGAAGGAGGTTAAGTCCTGCAGGGCCCTGGTCTCATGGGACAGAGCATTCCACCAGGTCGGAGCCACCACTGAGAAGGCCCTGGCCCTGGTGGAAGATAGTCTGGCTTCCTTAGGGCCTGGGACCTCTAAACTATGATTATTTATGGACCTTAAGGTTCTCTGCGGGGCAGACCAGGAGAGGCGGTCCTGTAGATACGAGGGCCCTATCTGCCACTCCTCCTGGTTGCCCCCAGTCTGCTGCCTGAGGCAACTGCCACACCATGCCCTGTCCGGTACCACCACCTTGACGGGACGCCGGCAGCTAATCAGCTGCCAGTGGTCCCTGGCAAGCAGTTGGCTGAGCTGCTGCGTTTGGCAGCTCCTGGTTCAGCCTCGGGGGGCATCCCTGCATGCCCCACATTTGAGGAACTGAGAAAGATCCCCTACACACGCAAAAGTAAAGGGACCCCTGACCGTTAGGTCCAGTTGTGACCGACTCTGAGGTTGTGGCGCTCATCTCGCTTTATTGGCCGAGGGAGCCGGCGTACAGCTTCCGGGTCATGTGGCCAGCAGGACTAAGCCGCTTCTGGCGAACCAGAGCAGAGCACGGAAACGCCATTTACCTTCCCGCCAGAGCGGTACCTATTTATCTACTTGCACTTTGACGTGCTTTCGAACTGCTAGGTTGGCAGGAGCAGGGACCGAGCAACAGGAGCCACCCCATCGCGGGGATTCGAACTGCCGACCTTCTGATCGGCAAGTCCTAGGCTCTGTGGTTTAACCCACACGCAAAAGAGGTGTGTTAATTCCAGATGCCACAATGCTTTCCTTTGCAAAGTCGGTGACCTGTATGTCATAGCCATGAATATTGATGGAAACATCCGGGGCACGGGACTCTGTCCTGGTGGTTTTCCACCTAACGCAAGAAAAAACAGCGTAAAAACCCTGTTTTTCTTCCTGCCACCTTTTCCTGATGCGCCGGCAGATAATTGGCAGTGTTCGGGAGAAGGAGTCAGCCTCTCCTCCATCTTGGTATCCTTGGGGGGTTGATAATGTTGGCCATAAAAATTCACTTAAGACTCAGCCTCGCAGATTTGGGGGTGGTAGAGATGCTTATGGCCCTGGCTAATATGCAAAATGTATTTATCTGTGTGCTTTCTGAGCAACCTGCTTGGTGCGTGTGTGTGTGTGTGTGTGTTTTTCTTGCTGGCGGAAAGAGGTCACCTCGTTGCGATTCCAGAAGGGGCAGCGGAGCAAACTCTGCTTTTTAATCAGGAGGGTTGACTTTTCCCCCTGCAAGAACATGTCCGGATTATAACTTGCGTTTGCACAAGGCCTTTGCCGGAGAGGTTGTCGGTTGTGATCCTTGCGACGATGCTGCGAGGTGGGTCGGTTGCTATTGATTATCTGCTTGCGTGACCCGTTGCGGGGTCACTGCAACCCCCGCAGCTCCCTGCCCCCCCCAGGAAACAAATTTAGGGGTTTGCAACACAAGACACAATGTGCATTTAAAGCATACAACTGTCCGCAGAGCTTTCACAATTACCCAAGCAATTGAATGGCATCTGCCAAACGATGAGCTTGCCTGTACATCTTTCCATGGCTCCCCTGACTCCTGACCTCTGATAACATTCCACACCTCGCCCCTCCCTCCCTCCCTCCCGTTGGAATGTTTGTGAACATTCTGTGACATCACAGCATGTCAGTCAATAGCTGGGGCGGAGAAGGATTCTCCCATAGGGCAGCTGCTAGGTATTTATTTATTTTTAATCTTTTAGCCAAGGCTAAAAGGAGGTTCTTCATAGCTGGGGAATCATACCCATGCTGATTTACTTAAATTTATTTATTTATTTTAGCTGGAAAGACTATCTTATTTATATATATATATATATTAATTTTTTAACCTATCATTTTCAGCAATCATTTAACACAATTTCATATTTTATACAATTTTTTTGACTTCTATCAATCACATCTGAAATTTTTCCAATCTTTTTCACTTAATTTACATTTCTTAATTTCACTATTACTTTTAATTATCTTAACTAATAACTCTCTTCATAATCTTCCTTGCGATATTTCACATTTTCCTCCTTACAAAACTTCTTGTAATCCTACTAGCGTAATATGTTAATTACAATTGCTTTTCAGGTAGTTCACATATTTATTCCAGTCCTCTGTGAATCTCTGGTTCTGCAGGTTTCGAATCCTTCCTGTCATCTTATCTAATTCTGCATAGTCCATTAATTTCATCTGCCATTCTTCTTTCGTCAGTAATTCTTCTTGTTTCCATTTAATAAAGATTTACTTAATTTTTTAAATTCCGTTATTCTTGTTATTTTCTTCACTGGGGAGATAAATATGAGGCGGTGGCAATTTCTCTCTGTTGGGATGGGTCTGATCTGATCCCCCTCCCCTCTTGGCAGTCGTTGATTTGATTGACGTTTGCATCCAGCCTGACGATCTCTCCCTTTCTTTTTAAAAAACGACGCAGGTGATGCTTGATTTGGGAGGCTGAGGAACTGCCTGGCATGGCGCCATCATTCAGAAGGACCGCGTTGTCTCATGTGAGCAAATAACAGCAGCTAGCAGATATCCAAAGGTAAGCTGTGGAAAGAGAGCACAAACAGGTACACCTTCCTAAACCCAGACAGAAAGCTTTCCTGAGCTCCTGATAGGCATTCCCCCCCCCCTTGCCGGCATTCCTGATGTTTTCCCATTTCATCCCTGCAATTTTGCTAATCGCCAGCATCCTGTGAGCAACACTTCCTCCGGAGCTGTTGGAATGTTCTTAAGCATTTTGTGACATTCCTCCGGACCAACAGATGATTCTCCCAGAGCTATTTGAGTGTTCGTAAACATTCTGTGACACCATACTTGGCACCAAAGCTGGGGATGCGGATGCTGACCCGAGACAGGATATTATTGTTATTTTAACTTCTTGATCATTTAGAAAGATGAGTTCAACACCTGGGCTCATCGCCTCTCACGTTTTTAACCCTGTATGTGCTAACTAGCTCGAATCGGACATGCTGGATCAAACCAGTGGCCCAGCTACTTCATTACAGTGGTACCTCGGGTTACATACGCTTCAGGTTAAATACGCTTCAGGTTACAGACTCCGCTAACCCAGAAATAGTGCTTCAGGTTAAGAACTTTGCTTCAGGATGAGAACAGAAATCGGGCTCCGGCGGTGCAGCGGCAGCAGGAGGCCCCATTAGCTAAAGTGGTGCTTCAGGTTAAGAACAGTTTCAGATTAAGAACAGACCTCCGGAACGAATTAAGTACTTAACCCGAGGTACCACTGTATCTTGTTCTCACAGTGCACAGACAGAGCGTAGGGCATGGGTAGGCAAACTAAGACCCAGGGCCCGGATCCGGCCCAATGGCCTTCTAAATCCGGCCCACAGACGGTCTGGGAATCAGCATGAGTAGAATGTGTGCTTTTATTTAAAATGCACCTCTGGATTATTTGTGGGGCATAGAAATTCGTTCATTTCCCCCTTTCAAAATATAGTCTGGACCCCCACAAGGTCTGAGGGACAGTGGACCGGCCCCCTGCTGGAAAAGTCTGCTGACCCGTGGCTTAAGGATCCAGATAGACTGCCACTGGACTGGGAGGTTCCATAAGAATGTAAGCAATGGCTAGTAGTCATTGGCAGGGCCCGGGGGTTGGACTAGATGGCCCTTGGGGTCCCTTCTAGCTCTGCAGTTCTATGGAGAGCCAGTGTGGTGTAGTGGTTAAGAGCGGTAGGCTCTTAATCTGGGGAACTGGGTTCGATTCCCCGCTCCTCCACATGCAGCCGCTGGGTGACCTTGGGCCAGTCACACTTCTCTGAAGTCTCTCAGCCCCACTCACCTCACAGAGTGTTTGTTGTGGGAAGGAAGGAAAAGGAGAATGTTAGCCGCTTTGAGACTCCTGAAGGGGAGTGAAAGGCGGGATATCAAATCCAAACTACTCCTCCTCTTCTTCTTCTTCTTCTTCTTCTTCTTCTTCTTCTTCTTCTTCTATGATTCTGCAACAAACCTCTCCTCCTCCTCCTTCCTCGAATTGGTCCAATTCTCTTCAGGAGCCACTTAAGTTGGCCGTCGTCCTTGCCTCCTGCGGGGGGGAGTTCTGGGAGGGGTGGTCTTGTGGTAAAGTTAAAGCTTACTGGGAAATGATATACCGTATTTTTTGCTCTATAAGACTCACTTTTCCCCTCCTAAAAAGTAAGGGGAAATGTGTGTGTGTGTCTTATGGAGCGAATGCAGGCTGCGCAGCTATCCCAGAAGCCAGAACAGCAAGAGGGATTGCTGCTTTCACTGCACAGCGATCCCTCTTGCTGTCCTGGCTTATGAGATTCCGAATATTTTTTTTCTTGTTTTCCTCCTCCAAAACCTAGGTGCATCTTGTGGTCTGGTGCGTCTTATAGAGCGAAAAATACGGTATGATGAATTGAAAAGGATGTTTAAAATAACGTTTGTAAAAAACACACACCCAGAAGCTTTTCATTTGGGAATTATAGGGACAGAACTACCTAAAATGTATAGAAACTTATTCATGTACATAATACCTCCGTGAACATCCGCCTTGTCTAATGTCCATTCTGGCGAACGTCTGCGGCAAACCCGGAAGTACAGGAATGGGTTATTTCTGGGTTTGCCGCTTGCGCATGTGCAGAAGCGCTAAATCGCACTTTGCACATGCACAGAAATGCAAACCGCTTTTTGGCTAGCGGCCCAGGGCTCCGGAATGGATCCTGGCCACAAAACAGGGTACGATTGTATGCTACTACAGCGGCCCCAAAATGGAAAGAAACAGAAGTCCCAGCAAAGGAAGAATGGATACAAAAACTTACGGAATATTCAGAAATGGCGAAACTTACCGGAAGAATAAGAAATCAAGATATATTTTTTTAAAAAAATGGAAATGGTTTATTGAATATTTACAGATAAACTGTAAACAGATAAGAACATTGGCAGTATTATTGCAATAACCTGCAGTTTGAGAAGCATATATATTTAAAGCAGATGCATAAATGATCAAATTAAGTCAGTTTGGATATGCAGAAGATATTAAAAATAAGATTAAGGGGCCGTAGAAAAAGGGGGAAGGAAGTCAAGTTTTGAAATGTTAAAATGATAGCGGAATTAGTGAAATGTATAAACTTGATCACAGGTGGCGTTGTGGGTTAAACCACAGAGCCTAGGACTTGCCGATCAGAAGGTCGGTGTTTCGAATCCCCGCGATGGGGTGAGCTCCCGTTGCTCGGTCCCTGCTCCTGCCCACCTAGCAGTTCAAAAGCACGTCAAGTGCAAGTAGAGAATGCTCAGGGGACTGAATCTATCTCAGCACCTACTTCTGTCCTATTATCACAGTACCATCGAGAGTGTCTTAACATATAGTATATTATCGTGGTATGGGAGCAGCTCTGAAACGGATAAAAAGCTTTACAGAGAATAATTAAAATTGCCCAGAATGTTATTGGGCTCCAACTACCAACCCTGGATGAGATCTTCACGTCTCGCACTTTGAAGAAGTCACACAATATCCTGAGAGATCCCACCCATCCTGCTCACAACTTCTTTGAACTGTTGCCTTCGGGCAGAAGATATAGGACAATGAAAACACGAACCACACGCCTTCTGAATAGTTTCTATCCAAGAGCTCTGATTGCACTAAATAATGATCTCAGGGCCAGTTGCAAGGAATAGCAAGCAGGGAGTAGGAAGGAATGAGACAGGTTTTTAGGTTATGTTATGCTTTTAATAGGTTATGTTACATTCTGGAGTATGATATGTTTTTATAGATTATGTCTGAATAGGATGAGAGTGTTGGAGATACGTGCAAATGTGTATGTGAACCCGGTCTTCGAGTGGGTGTTTGATTTTCGTTGTTGTGTATACTGTGTATATACGGACAATGACAATAAATTTATCTAAATCTAGATAAATAGGTACCGCTCTGGCAGGAAGGTAAACGGCATTTCCGTGCGCTGCTCTGGTTCGCCAGAAGTGGCTTAGTCCTGCTGGCCACATGACCCGGAAGCTGTACGCCGGCTCCCTCGGCCAGTAAAGCGAGATGAGCGCCGCAACCCCAGAGTCGGTCACGACTGGACCTAATGGTCAGGGGTCCCTTTACCTTTATAAACTTGATAGGCATAAACAAAATTTTTTTTTTTTGGTTAAAAAAAGGGAGAGGGAGTTATTCAGTTTGACTAGGCGCTGCTTTGAAGAAGCCCTGTTTTTTATCAGTCCTAAATCTTCCCCTCTGTGTTCCCTGTCGCTCCTTGCTAAATTGCAGGTCTCCAAGCGAGGAGGAAGAGGGGAAGAAAGATGGATCCGGAGAGGAACGGAGGCGTTGGCAGAACCAGAAAACGGCGCTTCAGATCCATGACTCTTGGGCTTTCTGAGTTGGTGACCTGAGAGAGAGAGAGAGAGAGAGAGAGAGAGAGAGAGAGAGAGAGAGTTTCTGCCTTCAGTCACTCCCTCATGGCGCCTCTGCGCTGGGTGATACTTCAGGCAGGTTGAGACACGGCAGCCTAGCCCAGCTCTCTGCCAGAAAAGCTGGATTTCAAGTCGAGAGGGGCGGGGTGGCAGTGGCGGAGGCGGCAGAGGGTTTCAGTCACCCACGCCGGGAGAGCAGAGGTCAACTTCCTTGGGGGGAGGCAGTGCTTCTCAGTGGTTAGAGCACACACAGCCTAGATTCCTGCATTGCAGGGGGGGTTGGACCAAGGTGACCCTCAGGCTCCCTCCCAATTCTGCAATTCGATACCCAGGCAGCACCGGGAAAACCTTCCTGCCTGCTGCCAGTCAGTGCTGGAGCACAGTGGTGGGCGGGGGCAGAAGGAAAAAGGGGGCGGAGCAACGCTTGCATTGCACAGGAAGTTTCTGCGCCCAAACTCTGCCCTCTCTGACCGGGTGAGCGAGAAGCAGGGTCAGATTTCAGGGACGCACCCTGCCTGGCCAGGCAAAAACACGTGAGGAGGGTGTGAAGCAAAGGCAGTGAGGAGTGTGGCCTGGGGAATGTTCCGAGGGCCAGGTGGGGAGGTCCAGAGGGCCACATGTATTCCTTTTTTTAAAATTTATATAATTTTTAATTGATTTTGCAACTTATCATTTTCAACAATCATTAAACATATTTTCATATCTTATACCATTATTTTTTTGACCTCCATCAATCACCTCTGAAAATTTTCCAATCTGTTCACTTAATATACGTTTCTCACTTCCACTATTACATTTAAATCTCTTAACCTATATCTCTATTCTTTCTCTACTTAGCAATATTTCATGTATTTCTCCTTACAAAACTTCTTGTAGTCCGACTAGCGTAATTTGTTGAGTACAGTTGCTCTTCAAATTTTTGCCCAATCACAAAAATAATAGCAGATTTGAATTCCTCACACCTGAAAACATATTTTTAAAGTCTTTCTCACAGCAGAAATTTGCCAGAAAATAAAGTTTCACCCCCTAAAATGATACACCCTCGTCGTCTAGTCCAATTCCCTGCAATGCAAGAATGGCCTCAAACACTTCTCAAACTTGCTCAGACCTCCCCTCCAATAAATCTCAGTTCTTCAGCCTGAAATGTCACCATCCAGACATAAATATATGGGATACGGGTGGCGCTGTGGGTTAAACCACAGAGCCTAGGACTAGCCGATCAGAAGGTCGGCGGTTCGAATCCCCGCCATGGAGTGAGCTCCCGTTGCTCGGTCCCTTCTCCTGCCAACCTAGCAGTTCGAAAGCACGTCAAAGTGCAAGTAGATAAATAGGTACCGCTCTGGCAGGAAGTTAAATGGCATTTCCGTGCGCTGCTCTGGTTCTCCAGAAGCGGCTTAGTCCTGCTGGCCACATGACCCAGAAGCTGTATGCCAGCTCCCTCGGCCAGTAAAGTGAAATGAGCGCCGCAACCCCAGAGTCGTCCGCGACTGGACCTGATGGTCAGGGGTCCCTTTAACAGAAATATATACCTTTCCTTTTCCCTCCCTGTCCCCTTTTTCTTTTGTGCCATGCCTTCTACAGTGTAAGGCTACCTAGTTGTGACTGCACATCAGCCACATTGCTCTTCAGCTTAAAAGGTCTCCCAGTTTACAACTGCCAGTGTTCTCAGCAAATAACTAAATAATTGGGTGCTCTGGTTTTGGACAGCCAGAATCTGCAGGGAACCAGTGCTGTGCTGTCACAAATGCAGGATAACTTGGCGGACGGACCTGCACGCTCCCCTCCCCTCTCCCAGTTACCCTTCATGAGCTGGGATAGCTCAATCAGTAGAGCACAAGGCTCAAAATCTCAGGTTCGTGGGTTCAAGACCCACGTTGGGCAAGAGATTCCTGCCTTGCAGGGGGTTGGTCTAGATGACCCTCAAGATCCCTTCCAATTCTATTTTTTTTAATAATAATTTTTATTAAATTTTCAATTTTATCATAATCACAGTTCCACCACATAATTCCATAACCACAAGCATTGCTCAAACTGAGCACCGACCTCCCCCCACCCCCCTTTCTGACTTCCAGACATAATTACTTAATTCTTAGCATTTTTATGACCACTTTTTTACCTTTTTGTATTTCCCCTCTTTCAATGTAAATCAGTTCCTTATGTTCACATTACAAAACACTTCAACTCAAACCTACAAAGGTTTTCAGATGTTTACAATGTTCTTTCATATATAATATAAATTTGCTCCGGTCCTTTTGAAACAGTTTGTTTTCCACTAAAAAGTGGAAAACCCAAGAATTACCAAAGACAGAAGAATGGCAGATGAAGATGATGGATTTTTCGCAGCTAGCCGACTTAACCGGAAGACCAGAAGGAGGAGGAGTATCAGGAGGAGTGGAATAAATTTAACGATTATCTAGTTAAATTTGTTAAGTTAAATTAACTGAAAACAGCTTGCAGATACTTAATTGGCCTAGGATTTTATTTATGTTAAGTGATGAATTAATATGTTTAATTCCATAAGGTGAAGATTTAAGGATGTTAATGTTTAAGTTAAACTTCATAAGAATTGGGATTTGGAAAACCGCTAAAAGGACATGCAACGAAATTCAATCAAGGGGAAGCGAGGAAGTCACTTAACAAAGTTAATGTGTAATTTTCTTTTTTTTTAAAAAAAAAATATTTATTACTTTTAAACCTTAGAAAAAGGAGAAGAGAAAAGAAAAAAGAAAAGAAAAGGAAAGGCAAAAGAAAAAACAATACAGTACAATATATAAACAATACACAACACAACATTAACATTAACACATTAAACAAAACGAGAGCAAAAACAGTTCAAAAAACACACATCATACCATCTCAATATCCTCTCTTTCATTCCCTTGTTTCATCGACCTCCTCTCACCTCCCTTTTTGTATTCCATTTCTATTAATTATTTCAGCAAATCCTTTCCATCTTTCTCTATTTTCTTATCATATTTTAACCTTATTTTCCATTAATACTATAATACTTATTTATGCTTAATTCCTTAAAACATTTCTGTTAATGTGTAATTTCCGATCAGGCTATGATTTATGTTTGTTTGTCTTGTGTGTTTGTTTGTTTGTTTATAATATTGCGAAAACTAATTAAAAAAATTGAAGAAAAGAAAAGAAACAGTTTGTTGCGCTGATTGTTTGTTGTGGATTTTCCCCGTCCGTTCCAACCCTAAAGTTTTATGATTCTGTCTCCAGGGCCTGAGACATCGCCAGGTGCTAGTCCCAGGTTTGGGCTCTGAAATCCCAGGGTCTGGGATGCTCCTGACCTGGCAATCCTGCACCCCAATTGGGGGGGAAAAACACACACGAGGAAGGCCTGTATGAAAGCTTCACCTACCAACTTCCCTCCATGTTCTCCTAGTTTTAAAAATCGTTCATTCGTCTCCTTCCCTCCTCCTCTCTCTCGCTCCCTGAGACGCAGATACCAAGTGTAATATGTTTTCAAATTGCATTGCAAAAGACTGCAATAATCTCGGCTGAAGAGAAATTAGAAAAAAGCAGCTTGATCTTTCCCCCCTTTTTTAAATGGAATCCCTGCTAGTCAGCACTTATATCATAGAGTCGGAAGGAACCCCAGGGGTCATCTAGCCCAACCCGCTGTGATGCAGAAATCTTTTGCCCAATGTGGGGCTCGAACGCACGACCCTGAGAGCCTCAAGCTCTGCCGACCGAGCTAACACTTGGCCTAGTGCCCAGGGGCAACATTAGAAGGGAGAGTGATTTATCTCGGTGGTAGAGCCCCTGTTTGGCAAGTAGAAGGTCCGGGTTCAAATCCTGGGAGTCTCCAGGTAGGACTGAGAAGGACCCTGTCAATCCCGATGGCACTGAGCCCTGTATCTCTGTTTCAATCAGCCCTTTAGGTCAGGATGATGAGGACTAGAAACTTGCTTTATTGGGGGGCTGGAGCGGTGCAGGGCCTGCTTTGCCTGAAGAGTGTCCCGGGCTCATTTCCTGACACCCCCAGGCAGGGCTAGGAACACCCCCTGTCTGAAACCTTGCACCCAGAGCCAGCCCACAGATGAGGCAGGGTGAAGCAGCTGCATCGGGCAGCAGAAACTCAAGAGTTTTCTGCCTGCCCACCGCTTCTGACACCTCTGGAAATAATAATAATAATAATAATAATAATAATAATAATAATAATGTATTATTTATACCCCGCCCATCTGGCTGAGTTTCCCCAGCCACTCTGGGCGGCTCCCAATCGAGTATTAAAAACAATACAGCGTTAAATATTAAAAACCTCCCTAAACAGGGCTGCCTTCAGATGTCTTTTAAACATAAGATAGCTGCTTATTTCCTTCACATCTGAAGGGAGGGCGTTCCACAGGGCGGGTGCCACTACCGAGAAGGCCCTCTGTCTGGTTCCCTGTAGCCTCACTTCTCGCAATGAGGGAACTGCCAGAAGGCCCTCAGAGCTGGACCTCAGTGTCCGGGCTGAACAATGGTGGTGGAGACGCTCCTTCAGGTATACAAGACCAAGGCTGTTTAGGGCTTTCAAGGTCAGCACCAACACTTTGAATTGTGCTCGGAAACGTACTGGGAGCCAATGCAGATCTCTCAGGACCGGTGTTATGTGGTCTTGGCGGCCACTCCCAGTCCCCAGTCTAGCTGCTGCATTCTGGATTAATTGTAGTTTCCGGGTGACCTTCAAAGGTAGCCCCACGTAGAGCGCATTGCAGTAGTCCAAGCAGGAGATAACTAGAGCATGCACCACTCTGGTGAGACAGTCTGCAGGCAGGGAGGATCTCATCCTGTGCACCAGATGGAGCTGGTAGACAGCTGCCCTGGACACAGAATTAACCTGCGTCTCCATGGACAGTCCAAAATGACCCCCAGGCTGCGCACCTGGTCCTTCAGGGGCACAGTTACCCCATTCAGGACCATGGCGTCCTCCCCACCAGCTCGCCCCCTGTCCCCCTAAAACCGTACTTCTGTCTTGTCAGGATTCAACCTCAATCTGTTTGCCACCATCCATCCTCCAACCACCTCCAGACACTCACACAGGACCTTCACCGCCTTTACTGGAAAAGCGCCACAAGTTTCGGCACCAGTTGTGGGGATGGCATTGGGGGCGTCTTGGACCACCCCTGACCACCCCACCCACCCCACAGACTCGGGGCGTGGACACGATCCTCAGCAGAAGTCGGTGCATCCTAGCGAGGAGGAGATGCATTTTTTTCTTCAGCCAAACACGATATTCTCCCACCCGCGTCCCCTTTCCTTGAGAGCTACGTTGCTCTCCCGATAATTAGCAAAAGACTGTTTTTATTTTAACGAGGCAGGGGCAGAGCAAACAAGATGGAACCCGGGGAGGAGGAGGGGATTGTGGGAGGACGCGGACGCACTTTCTGAAACACAAAGAGAGGAGATAATTAGCAGTCCTGGGAAGAATAATAATAGCAAAAGGGGACGCTTGAAGGTGAACATGCGAACGAAGGCTGGCTCCGTCGCAGAAAAGGGAGAATTCGGCACACGCTTCGTTTCTGGGGTCGAGAATCACGGGCGGCATCCGGTGCACGCTATCCTCAAAGCAGCCCCCCCGAAACATTCACTTCAGTGGGTCTGCGATGAGAAGGGTGGCACCGGTGCCGGGAATGTTAGTTTGCTGAAGGGGCGCTGGGAGTGGCTAGGCGTCGCCTCCCAGAGCTACAGCTCCCACAGCACAGTTCCCTAGCTCTGTCGGGAGAGCATGGGACTCTTAATCCCAGGGTCTTGGGTTCGAGTTTCACGCTGGGCAGAAAGGTTCCTGCATTGCAGGGGGTTAGGATAGAAGACCAGAATTCCCAGAATCCTTTGGGGGGTGGGAAGCCGCCATGTCTGTTTAAAGCAATATGATACTGCTTTAAATATACAGTGGTACCTCGGGTTACGGACCTGATTCGTTCCGGAGGTCCGTTCTTAACCCGAAACCGTTCTTAACCTGAGGCGCACTTTGGCTAATGGGGCCTCCCGCTGCCGCCATACCGCCGGCGCGCGATTTCTGTTCTCATCCTGGGGCAAAGTTCTCAACCCAAGGTACTACTTCTGGGTTAGCAGAGTTTGTAACCCAAAGTGTTTGTAACCCGAGGTACCACTGTATGCTGCGGATGTGGATCATCACTTTCAATTTGCTGTATTTAATAATAATAATAATAATAATAATAATAATAATATTTTTATACCCCGCCCTCCCTGGCCAGAGATGGGCTCAGGGCGACTAACACCAGTAAAATTACAATAAAAACGTAAGGGGGGACGACGACAATTTAAAATACAGGTTAAAAATACAGTTTAAAATGCAGCCTCGTTTTAATAATAGCCCATAGATCAAAACCATAAGGGGAGGGAAACAGAAGGGTCAGACTGAGTCCAAACCAAAGGCCTGGTGGAACAGCTCCGTCTTGCAGGCCCTGCGGAAAGATGTCAAGTCCCGCAGGGCCCTAATCTCTTGTGATAGAGCGTTCCACCAAGTCGGGGCCAGTACTGAAAAGGCCCTGGCCCTAGCTGAGACCAATCTAAGCACCTTGCGACTTGGGACCTCCAAAAGGTTTCTTTTGTTAAACCCCTCTCACCATATTTACACTTGCAATTTTTTTCCTTTCAAAGGCCCTTGTGAAAATTCACCAGTGTTTTCTCCCAATATACACACATTTGTATACATTTTTTGCCTGATGGACACATTTTTGCACAGCGACACCCCCCCCCATAATGATTTGTTTATTTTTGGCTACAACACTTTCATGAATATATGCATTTCGGTGCACGCTTTACCATGTTCATTTTGTACTTTGCTGCAGAACTTAGCTGCAAAATTCAGAGGCGTGTGAATTTTGAAGGAAGGCTGCGTTTCGGCCCACGGGTTGTTCTGAAAAATTCAGATTAGGTGGGTTTACACTTAAATGCGAACAGAACTGAATTCCCTCCCCTCATGCATCACAGAAGTACATTAGAATCACAGAGTTGGAAGGGACCCACAACCCTGAGATTAAGAGCCCCCGTGCTCTACCTACTGAGCTTCCTGTCCCACAGGACAGGAATGTGTGTGGCGTTTATAGCTTGTCCTTTCTGTGTGAGGTGCTCTGGGAGGTGTCTGTGGTTCTGCTCACTTCTCCAGCTTCACAACAGCTCTGTGAGGTAGGACAGGCTGAAAAATAATGGCTGTCAGCACCCCCGTGTGACAAACCTTCAAACTGCAGCTTCTCAGCGAAGTTCCTTCAGGATGTGGACCATGGGTAGGCAAACTAAGGCCCGGGGGCCGGATCCGACCCAATGGCCTTCTAAATCCGGCTGGCGGACGGTCCGGGAATCAGCATGTTTATACATGAGTGGAATGTGTCCTTTTATTTAAAATGCACCTCTGGGTTATTTGTGGGGCCTGCCTGGTGTTTTTGCATGAATAGAATGTGTGCTTTTATTTAAAATCCATCTCTGGGTTATTTGTGGGGCATAGGAATCCGTTCATTAATTTTTTCAAAATATAGTCTGGCCCCCCACAAGGTCTGACGGACGGTGGACCGGCCCCCTGCTGAAAAAGTTTGCTGACCCCTGTTTGGACCTACTCTGACCACCCAGCCTGGACATGTGATCCTTTCTGTCCAAGTGGGTCTAAACAGGCTCCCTGCAGGTGAATACTGAGTGAGGAACAAGATTGTCTTGGGTCTTGGTTGACCTTTGTTCCTGAATTCTAGTTCCCTCCTTGATCTCAGCTCCTGGCTTGACCTTCAACTCTTGCAAGTAGCCAGGGCTGGTGGCTTCCTCTATGGGTCCTCCTTGCTGGATAACTGGAGGCAACTGTCTTTAGCCCACCTCTAAGCAGGGATGAAGGGATGCGGGTGGCGCTGTGGGTTAAACCATAGAGCCTAGGACTTGCCGATCAGAAGGTCGGCAATTCGAATCCCCGCGACGGGGTGAGCTCCCGTTGATCGGTCCCTGCTCCTGCCAACCTAGCAGTTCAAAAGCACGTTGAAAGTGCAAGTAGATAAATAGGTACTGCTGCGGCGGGAAAGTAAACGGCGTTTACGTGCACTGCTCTGGTTCACCAGAAGTGGCTTAGTCATGCTGGCCACATGACCCGGAAGCTGTATGCCGGCTCCCTTGGCCAATAAAGCGAGATGAGCGCCGCAACCCCAGAGTTGGTCACGACTGGACCTAATGGTCAGGGGTCCCTTTACCTTTAAGCAGGGATGGGAGTGATGCTCCATTCATCTCGCATTTAAACTCAAAACTTTGCGCTTACCCGGTGCAGTTTTCCCCAGCCGGAGACATTTACAAAAATGCGTTTTGATTCTCAGCGTTGGTGGAGCCGAACCTGGGAATTAGCTGAGGCAGAGAAAGTGACAGGGTGCAACAGACAGGCTATTCAGTGTTTTCTTCATTTCGTAATTTTAGGTTGCAAGCCACCCTGAGATCTATGGTTATATGGAAGTATACAAATTTAATAAATAAATGAATAATAAAAATAGAGGAGCTCAAATGGGGAGAGCTCCCTCTCTCTCTCTCTCCACTGGAATAGCTCAGTCGGTAAAGAACAGGACTCTTACTCCCAGGGCTATGGGTTCGAGCCCTACGTGGGGTGAAAGATTCCTGCGTTGCTGGGGTTGGACTAGATGACCGTTGGGGTCCCTTCCAACTCTACATTTCTGCGATACTTGGTACCCCTTCATTGCTCAGATTGATAAACAAAAGGGTGAACAACTTCCTTTGATATTGTACAGGCCTTTTCTGTCTCCTTTGTTTTTTATCTCTCTCTCTCTCCTAGCTAAAGAAATATATATATATATATATATATATATATATATATATATATATACACATATATATTTCTAATTTACATTTCAAAATATTCATTTAAACAACCTTAAATCAATGACTTCCTTTCTTCTCTTTCTGTGGTTCATTTTGCATACCATACATCCCTGCATATTTTACATGAACTAAACCATGGGTAGGCAAACTAAGGCCCCAGGGCCAGATCCAGCCCAATCGCCTTCTCAATCCGGCCCGCGGACGGTCCGGGAATAAGCGTGTTTTTACATGAGTAGAATGTGTCCTTTTATTTAAAACGCATCTCTGGGTTATTTGTGGGGCATAGGAATTCGTTCATCCCCCCCCCCAAATATAGTCCGGCCCCCCACAAGGTCTGAGGGACAGTGGACCGGCCCCCTGCTGAAAATGTTTGCTGACCCCTGAACTAAACCATTCAGTAATCCATTGTTACATCCATCAGTATTTATTTACATTGTTGAATTTATCTTAATGCTACCAAGGTTTTTAAATGAGCACAGTTTTCACCCATATGTTTGGTAAACATCCTCCAGTCGTCTTTAAACATACTGTGTGTAATAATCCATCAGTTTAAGTTGCCATTCTTCTTTGGTTGGGACCTCGCTCGTTTCCCATTTTTGGGCTAATGAAACATTGAGCGGGAATCTCCTTTCTTGTAACTAGAGTCCATTGGTTCAGGTCCTGGCCTCTGGAGCAGCAGAAAACAAGCTTGTTCTGTCATTTGTGGGGCAGCCCTTCAAGGGGTCGATCAGGGGCCTCCCACAGATCTGGAACGGGGCCTGGAACCGAGTTGGGGTGTGCGTGTGTGTGCGCACAATGCAGTTCATCGCTCCCGCTTCTGACGGCGAAGCTGCAGAGCTGTCAGTGTGGTAATCTCCATTCGCATGACACATTAACGCATCTCAGTCAATTGATCCCACACCGAAAGCAAACAGAACTGTGGGTGTGTATGTAAAAACACAGTCATATATAAAACATTCTCTGACTCAAGCATGCGGAGGTTTCAAACAGCAAGCGATTTGCTCACATATGGATTAATCTAAACACCACCCCCATCCATTTGCGATATAAACAGCTGGTGCTGTTAAAAACAGACCTGGCGGAGCTTTTCGGAACCTCTTTCTTAAAAAGAAGCTGCTAACTAGGTTGAGGTGCTTTTTCTAGATGGACTTTTCCCCTTGTGATCTGAAGCATTTTGCTCAGAATGCCGTGATCGGAAATAGTAGCAGGAGCGGCAGAACTACTAATAGGAAAATAGTAATCAGCATCGCTCACAGACCCTGCAGAAACTCATAAGGCTGGCTTGTAGGATGTTCAGAAATCGAGGAACCCGAATTTGATTCAGTTCACGTTTAAAGGCAACATGTACCCGGTTCATACTTTCTGGAACGGAACTGAACTGAAACGCTGTCATCCCGAAACATCTGCACTGCTCTGAATTTTTCAGTCCAGACCTCCACCCAAATAATGTGTACTAATATGCATATAAAGGGACGCAGGTGGCGCTGTGGGTTAAACCACAGAGTCTAGGACTTCTCGATCAGAAGGTCGGCGGTTCGAATCCCCACGACGGGGTGAGCTCCCGTTGCTCAGTCCCTGCTCCTGCCAACCTAGCAGTTCGAAAGCACGTCAAAGTGCAAGTAGATAAATAGGTACCGCTCCGGCAGGAAGGTAAACGGCGTTTCCGTGCGCTGCTCTGGTTCGCCAGAAGCGGCTTAGTCCTGCTGGCCACATGACCCGGAAGCTGTACGCTGGCTCCCTCGGCCAATAAAGCGAGATGAGCGCCGCAACGACTGGACCTAATGGTCAGGGGTCCCTTTACCTTTACCTTTAATATGCATATAACCACATATATTCGTGACAATGACATCTGCATTTAGATATCTGGTCTCTGATTACTGACTCTCTGCTGTCCTCAGATCTAGTCGGGTTTGGGGCTTTGCCAAGTAACAGAGGCTTCACATCATCCTCCGGTGATTTAGGCCCCACTGCTGGCTTGGGCCCCTCCTAATCCCAGGATGTGGCCCCCGGCAGGTTCTACCAGAGAGAATACGGCCCTTGGTGGACAGAAGCTCATCTACCCAAATACTGGCAATACCCAGAAATTATGCAAACATCTGGAGGCAGAGAGATGAAATGTAACAGAGTAGGTTTTGCAGAAGCAAATTCACAACAGGAGCCTCCCCTTTCGCTCCTCAAATATTTCACCACCAGCTTGCTTTCAAAGAGAAGAGATTACGTCTCTTCCGGCCTCCGCCGCCCCCAGATTTGGGTGACCTTCCTCCCCCTTTTTGCCTTTTGCTCTCAGCGTCTGAAGAGCAGGTTCTGGAGTTGCTTGGCTTGGCAAAGAGGGAAATTGCAGGGTCTCCGTCTCTCTCCTCAGAAGCCCCTTGGGAAATGTTCCCTGCGTTATTCCGCAGCGAAAGCCTTGGCCTCCAATTTGGTGGTAATAGCAGTCTGTGAACAGCTTTCTTCAATCTGTAACTCTCCTTCTTCTCCTCTCCCCCCTCCACCTCCCAGTCCTCCCATCTTCCGCTTACATGCTTCACCTCTTGTGCTGACCTTATTTGCCCCCCCTCTCTGCAGCCAGTAGCAACCAGGGTGGAGGGGGGGGGGGAGAAACAAGAGTTAAAATGCCTTGAAACACATTTAGAACCAGAAGTCAAATACCATCATGGGCTGAGAGAAGCCTGCACCTTCGTTTCCAAAGGCCTGCCTGAGCAACTGGCCGTTGTTGTAACTGTAATAAAGCCAGGGATGAGATAAGGAAACCGTGCTCTGAGGAACGCTAAGGAATCGCACAGCCTCCGTTTTTGTTATTTTTGTTTAATGAAATAATAATAATAATAATAATAATAATAATAATAATAATAATTTATTATTTATATCCCGCCCATCTGGCTGGGTTTCCCCAGCCACTCTGGGCGGCTTCCAACAAAACGCTAAAATACAATAACCTATTAAACATTAAAAGCTTCCCTAAACAGGGCTGCCTTCAGATGTCTTCTAAAAGTTTGGTAGTTGTTTTTCTCTTTGACATCTGGTGGGAGGGCGTTCCACAGGGCGGGTGCCACTACCAAGAAGGCCCTCTGCCTGGTTCCCTGTAGCTTTGCTTCTCGCAGCAGAGTATGGGACTCTCAGGGTTGTGGGTTTGAGCCCTGTGTCGGGCAAAAGATTCCCGCATTGCCCAGGGTTGGACTAGATGACCCTCAGTGGACCCCTTCCGCCTCTGTCTCCTTAGTAAGATATAAATGAGACTTTAGCCACACAGGCCAGCCCCTTTATACAGCCCTTTATACAGCTTTATAAATGGTCCTGGCCTCCGGCAAATAATTCTGGGAGCTGTAGTTTGTTACGGGTGCAAACTACAGCTCCCAGAATTATTTGCCAGAAGCCAGGACCATTTATAAAGCTGTATCATAAGTGTTGAATATGTGGAGGTGGCCTAGGAGTTACTATGTTTTGAGATGGGGAACCTGATGTCAAGCGAGTGGCACGGCTGAACAGGGATTTGAACCCAGCTCTCTGCAGCCTACCCAAGAGACCAGGCTTGGTTTCTCTTCTGGGCTCTCCCAAAGGACGGACAGAATGGTCTGTTTGCCTCTCCGCCATCCCCTCCCATGAAAAACCTGGAAATTCTTCCAGTGAGAATTTCACACTCTCAGCTGTAATGATGTATTGTAAACATGCCCCATTAATTATTGACTCGCTCGCGGCGCTGATCCTTGAATCTTGACAGATAAAGAGTTTTTAGTGTTTTTTCCTCAACGTTCCTTTACGGTTTACGAGATGCCTGCGAGGCAGAGAGTGGCGGGTGGAGAGAGAGAGAGAGAGAAGGCGATGCGATTATGGGATGCTTTGAGCTCTGCGCTGTTCGGGAGGAGACGGTTCTCCATCCACGTCTCATTTGACTCTGGCTTATTAAAAGTAAATTATCAAAGCCAAACGGCTGCCTAGCCAAACAGAGGAAAGCAGGGGAAGTAAAGGAGGAGGAAGTAAAAGAGGAATTCTGAACCACTCCTTGATTTTTCAACATAAGGCAGCTGTCTGTGTTTGGGGATGGGTCATAGAACCATAGCATTGCAGATTTGGAAGGGACCCCAAGGGTCATCTAGTCCAACCCCCTGCAATGCAGGAATCCCAGCTAAAGAATCCCTGACAGATGGCTGTCCAACCTCTGTTTAAAAAACCTCCAAATGCAGGACAGTCTACCACCTTCCAAGGTCGCCTGTTTGGGCCCACTGGTTTGGGTCCTACACTCTGGAGCAGCAGAAAACAAGTTTCTGTGGGGCAGCCCTTGAGATATTGTTGTTGTTTAGTCGTGTCCGACTCTTCGTGACCCCCTGGACCAGAGCACACCAGGCGCTCCTGTCTTCCACTGCCTCCCGCAGTTTGGTCAAACTCATGCTGGTAGCTTCGAGAACACTGTGCAACCATCTCGTCCTCCATCGTCCCCTTCTCCTTGTGCCCTCCATCTTTCCCAGCATCAGGGTCTTTTCCAGGGAGTCTTCTCTTCTCATGAGGTGGCCAAAGTATTGGAGTCTCAGCTTCAGGATCTGTCCTTCCAGTGAGCACTCAGGGCTGATTTCCTTCAGTATGGATCAGTTTGATCTTCTAGCAGTCCATGGGACTCTCAAATCTCCTCCAGCACCATAATTCAAAAGCACCTTGAGATATTAGGAGATGGCTATCATATCTCCTCTCAGTCTACTCTTTCCCAGGCTAAACATACTCAGCTCCTTCAACCGTTCCTCATCCCCTTGTGGCTTAGAGCCCTTGTATTTACCGGACCA